CCCCAAAACCCCAAAACCCCAAAACCCCAAAACCCCAAAACCCCAAAACCCCTGAGGAGGAACAATTTTGAAAGTATTTTGACTCAATTTACTTTGTAGCAGATGGGAAATGCTGTGGGTCAGTTTCAAACCATTTGATTGATGCATCTGCTCCACAAGTCACAAGAACAGGGTGGTTTGGATGTACCATCATGCTCATAACAGCTTCATCATACTTTCTTTCATGAGCTTGGACTTCTCCGAAGCACTTGAAGTTTCTCATATCCCAGAATTTGATCCATCCATCATGAGAACCAGTGTAAAAATGATGCTTATTAGCTGAGAGGGCTACTCAACTGATGCCTTCATTATGAGCATTCACTATCTGCTTAATTCATTTAGAGTTTGTCAGATTATAAATAGACCACGATCCGTTTTCAGTACCTGTGATTGCCACATCAGTCGTTGGATGGCAAACTATTGAGTTAATCTGTCTTTCGATAAATGGAAGCTTGGAGTTATCTAAAGTGTTGATTTCTACCACCATTTGTCCAGAGTTTTGATCAAATATAGACAAGTAATCTTCTGCGCTGGCAGCAATAAAGAAGCAGTGGTTAGAGTATAACCAGTCACATGCAGTCGGGGTTTTACATTGAAATCTTTGTACTAAATTTTCATGAACTTGTAGTTCTCCTGAGTTATCTCTCTTGTTTTCATCCATTTCAGAGAATGCTCTCCAAAGTCATAGTGAGTTATCAGCTCCCATAGAGAGAAGGAAAGGAAGAGTTGGGTGATGCTTGAGGTCCCAAATAGGCTCACTGTTATGGCCATTAAGTATTCCGAGGCAGAAGTCGTTGTTATCGAGACCTTGCCCGAATATATCGACATCTTCGACATCTGGGACTTTCCAAATTCGGACTATTCCTTCATTACCTGCAGTGTAGATTATTTGGTCATTGATCTTTGATCCAGTAACTCTAAAGAGTGGGCCTGTATGTCCTCTCAAGGTATAATAAGGATCGCCTTTGAATTCTATGCCTTCTCCAAATCCATCTTCCATATTCTTGTGCATTAGCTTCACATCCCAGAGCTTGACTGTGCAGTCTTCAGAAACACTGGCCATGCAATCAAGAGATCCAACAAATTGGACTCCTCTGACACTATCCAGGTGCACATTGAACTCATGCTTAAGATTAATAGGAGACATTTTGTTTGCATAGTCTGCTTCAATTATAGTAGAAGATTGATCATCCCTTTGTACTGAGTCAAAGCTAGCGTCTGATAGGACTTCTTCTTGATTCTCAGCATCATTGCTTCTTTCTCCCGAAGCCTCGCTATCTTTTCCATCACTAGGATTTTTCTGATGGTCACTTCCCCTGATTTGTTTAAATTGTTCTTCTAAAGTTTCCTTCTTGTTCTCTTCTTGGAAGATCTTTCTCTTGACCTCTTCTTCAATTCTACTCACTGTTTTTAGCAATTCCTGGTTCTTACTCAAAGAAGAAGTTGCTTTGGTAAATAAATCTTTTATGTCTGCTACATCAGCAGTGCTGAAGACATCTTCGAACCCAATTTCTTCCAGGAATTTTACCAAGATCGACTGATGGCCTTGTGCTCTTTGGATAATAGGTCTCTCAGGAAGGTTTTCAACTTTAGACATATCCTTTTGGTCTTCCAGAATGTTGAGTTTGCCTTCAAGTCCATTAGCTGCTCTTGCATATTTGATCCGCTCTTGTCTCAAGGCATACTCTAGCATCTTAATTCTTCTAAGACAGTCAATATTGGAATTTTCTAGTGCTCTATTTTGAGATTCAAGTGTCATTTTCTCTCTGATAAGGTTCTGTCTTTCAACCATCCATTCAGCCTCTCTCATTTCGTGCTCTCTCTGTTTTTCTTTTAAGAAATGGAGAATGGTAGTCCAGTTTGCTTCAATCTTATTATTCTCTATATGGAAATTAAACACATGATAAAGTTTTGGCGCCAGAATTGGATCACAACTATGCTGCTTATTTTGGATGTGATTCAGTCAGATAATAATTTTTTATAGAAAGTGGTGGTACCTTGATTTTCCTTCATTTCGTTGTCTTCCTCGTTATCAAGTTCGTCGATGTAGTCTTCTCCATCCATGTTTATAATGATATTAGTAATAAAATCAATTAAATTTTAGAATGAGGGGTTTTGGGGTTTTGGGGTTTTGGGG